TGTTGTGCGTTTCTTTGTCCATCCCCGTCCATCCTAGCATCGCTCTCCAATCACGACCTCACTTGTTTAGCATAATATGACTATTTTTTACGGCAGCCAGCTGTTAGCTCTCCGGAACGATGTGCATCCGTTACTGGGGACTCAGCGGGCGTGCCACTGTTTGTTTTCCTTTTCTTGTCTTTTGTATTGCGGCACAATAGCTGAGATGTTTGCCACCTCCAGCTAACGTGTAATGATGATGATTGATGATGAATAGCACCCGGCTGTTTCCACTTACGTTGACTATCTTCATATAACTAGCCTTTGCAACCCACCGACGTTCCCGGTCAACTCGAAGGCGCCCTGTCAGACCTTGTTTCAGGGAGTTACGGATGCGCTGAAACACAGTGCTCATCGGAACCCGTTTATACCCTTCGATCAAGCTGATCGATACTTCAGAGCTCCATCCGCAGTCACGTCTCAAGTCGGGTGCACTACAAACGTCAAAGGCATTCTTCATGGCACATTTGAGACGATCCCAGTTAGCGTTCGGCTCACTAACCTCATTCATCACCAACACTTGGTGGGCCAGTTCGTTGTGATCTTGTTGAATCGCAGACTGTGCACAATTTACGTTTAAGTGGATTAGAAGATAGTCGCTTCTTTGAAGTGGGAAGGCTAAGCGCCAAGCGTGCGCGCAGTAGAACGTGATCGGAATCCAGGCATGTGCTCCAAAATGACCGACAATCTTAGACTGATGTGCGCCACCTGTAGCTGTTGGCAATATGGTCAATTTGGGTCCAGGTCATTGAGGAATTCGTTGAGCGTCAGGTGACGCGGTGTGAACGTTCGTGCTGGAAAGTAGTGCTGCTAATATAACATTTATGGTCGGCGCACAGTTGCAGGAATCGATCACCGTTGTCTGTTCGATGTGCACCGACTCCAAAACGCCCTCCAAGATATTATTCGGAATCTTGGGCATTCATGTCACCAACAACAGTCACGATGACACGCCCCTTAGATAGTTGGCAACCTCTGTTTTATTCTTCTTCCTCCCTGTCGTGGCGGTTTTATCCTCTAAATGCTGATGTATTTTTTCTAACTTATCTGGCTTATTCAGTACGACTACTGTTTTCCCGTATCAACTTTTGTGATCACGATACTGCGACCTTCCTTCAAAGCGCTCATCGCCATGCATTCATGTGGTACAAGATTAGGTTCCTGCGGTTGCTGAAACTTACTGATCTTCAATAGCTGTGCACGGATTTTCTTCCCCCTTACCTCGGATAACTTCATTACCACGCTTTCAACGCCAGGATTTCTTCTCTCACTCAGTATGCAATGCCACACCAAATTATGTACCAATTCACTTGGCCCGATGGAGCTTTTTCCTTAAAAGCGAAACGTTGCCAACTAATTAAACCAACCGATTGTTCACAACTCTCTCTAGAGGTATCGTAACTTGGTCACCACGTTTAGCGCAATCTCGAATTGTCATCAAAGTAATCGGCCATCATCAAATGACTCTTCACATCGTAAATGAAATTGTCCACTTTTGTGTTCTGCGAATGTCTTTCCGGGATTTCATGAAGCACCATGCACCCTTTTGTGTCGTTTGTTCTACTTGCTTGACATTCCGAAATATAATCTCGTATTTGACTGGCCAGCGCTCATACCGCACCATCCCCGGTGTATGCAGTTGATTGGTTCCATCATGGATCGCTAGTGTGTATCTGATTATTTTCAAACATTAATCCTTACAAGGCGATGGGCTGGTCTGGAATGTGAAGAAGTGAGTCCACTTTTGGACTTGTTCTTTTCCTCAATACATCCTTTCAATTCTATCTGCTCCAGAAGTTCGCATAGTCCATCTTCTTCCGTGCAACATCGTAATTTCAAATGTTTCTTGATGCCAACAATCGGTTGTGTTACCTGAGCAGAGTCAGAATTCTTCTCTATTCCTGTTGCAGCAGGAATATATTCCCTTTCTAGTGTATCAACAATGTGCATCCGGTTGTTAAACGAGATATACGTCGCAGTTATGCAGACGAATGAGCATCTGTCGCTAACGGCGTGGAACAATGTTAGTTATGAAAACCTGCAGCTTGTGATCAGTGGAGAAAGTGGTCTTGCCGCTGAACATATAATCGTTGAATCCTTCTATTGCGTGAACCATCGCCAACTTGGGTGTAGCGACGCATGGTCTCCGTTAGTGTCCGGCTTCGAAAAGCCACAGGCCTTCTACTCCGCGCGTCTATAACTTGTTCTTTAATTCTCCAGAAGGCCACTTGCTCGGCACTCCAGTACCAACTTTCTCTCTTGTGGTTAAGTTTCCGAATCGGTGTCATCACACCAACCATTATAGGCAGGAATTGGCTCTGGTAGTTGACCATCGCATTCGGTCTACCTACAATCTTCACTTCAATCGGAGTTGGCATCCAGTTTAGGGCTCTGCATTTCTGTGGACCTGATTTCAGTATTTCCAAACTCAACGCGTATCTACGAAACACTGTCTCCGTCCTTCACACACTCCAATTCCTTGATTCTTTCCTTGCAACGTCAAAGAAATCTTTTTGATCATCACCAGTTTCACACCATCTGCTACACAAAACGCCCCAAACAGATCTTCTAAAGTTTGTATCAGTCGCCTCGGAAATCCCACTAAATGCATTCATGCGAAAGGACAAACGAGACTATCGAAAACGTTTCATCTGCGATCAGTTTGGTTGACGCTGTTTCTAATACATACCATTAAGCTACAGCGAGGTAAGCCTTCATGAACACGTTGACCTTGGACAACGCCGATGGCACATCCCCTAATGTCAGTGTAAGGTGGTTTCGGGTCATAGCACACATGCAAATCATCGGATTTCTCAACTGCGATTGTTACTTGGCTCACACAATCATCATAGTTAATTACAAACCCCAAGCAAGTTGAACTGTGCAGTTCTACGGACTTTTCGCACAGCCATTGGGTTAGCTAATTCGTCTAGCGGAAATTGAGCACACCCCTCGAGTCCTACCTAACCACTTCAAGCCAATCAGAATGGAGGGCGAAAATATCTGCTGCAGCCTGACACGAATGAACAAACTGGTCATGAGTAAAGTAACTAAACCAAGGCGCTCAATGGAATTCATACTCTGAGTGGTCATGAGCACTATTGGGACCATGTGGAATTCTGGTGTTCTGTTCCATTCTTCTGGTTGATGACCTTCACAGCGATGCAGTCGCACGATAGTTCTTGAGTAGAATGTTGACAGTGGCTCGGAGCCCAGTTGACGACGCACTTGTTGTCCTTAAATCAGCAGTGCCGCAACACTTTTGTGCCACATGATCTTCTGTTATATCTGTTGACACCTGGGTCACTTTATACTGCTCAATATTAATTGAACCACCCTTCGTCAATCGACAGCAACTAGCAACGTGGTCTTTTTTGAATATTCATGAATTTCAGCCTCGAACTGAGCAGTTCTCCTTCACTTTTGCAGGCATCCGTTCGCATTGTTGCTAATTAGGTTCCTCTGCTTCGGATGGTTAGTTCTGGATATTACCTAGCGTAGGTGACCGTACCAAACACCCAATCATACCTGTAGACGTTGTGTGAGTTGTACCAACATTTCTGAGCCGCGACGTGTGTGAAAAACTTTCGGATGTGAAATTACCAAGGGGCCGGAGACGTCAAGTTTGAAAATTATGTCAATGGTCCCACGGGTCTGTGAGAGACTACATGCTGGCCAGGATGCGAAGCGGCAGACATCAGACGAACTTGGTATACGGGGATGAAACTTTACAGCCAAAACTTCTGATCAGCCAAGTTGGCTCTTCTGGTTTTTCTCGGCTGGGTTGGACTCGGCACCAAATCATGAGCAGAGACAGGTTAGCGTTTACGAGACTCGGTCATTGTTGGGACTCTGTCTTTCTAGTAATCGCATTACATCATTGCCAACGGCATGTCTAAATACAGTCAGGTGGCCTGGCCGCGTCAGCGTAACAAACTTCATCTACTTCGTTTTTCACACCATGCAGTTGTCTAGCAGCATGTTTTCCATTATTTGCAGCGGAGATGGAAATGGGCTCCACAGCTGTTGATCGAAGACCAGAGAAATCCTTCATGTCAGATTCTTCTCTGTTATCCTACTGAATAGCTTCCGAGAGTCCAAATGAACTCTGGGCATGGAATGAAATTCTGTTATTCATACACATGACTATTCATAACACAGTTAGTGCGAGACACTTTCTCACAGTATCTGCTTTTCGTCAGTCATTTCTCGGTGTTTTTCCTGGCGGAATCTATTGGTCTGTCCGCACACCTATGTTTGTCGTTGTTTTAGACAATCCACCCCCCTTTTGTCTGACATCATACTGCACTTCGCCTGACCATTTCTACATTGTGCATCCCGCATACGTATTTGCGATCAGATGGCACTTGATTGGATTTCTTTCCGCGTTAGTTCCGTTCTCCCCTACCGCTTACTATCATCACACATGGGATATTCTTGTTAGGTCACTCTGCCTTTCTCATCGGTCGTTACTTTTTTTGTACTTCCGATCGGCTGAAATTCATGAGAATCTATATTGAGGATATCAGTGATGTTTGTTTCTTGCTGGTCGTTTACTTTTCTTGTCACATACGAACTATTTTGAGCATCTGTGTGCCTTCTTGTCCCACATAACTGACGTCCGTGTGCTATCATACATAATGGATACTGTTAATTGTTTGCTTCCTTACTTCACCGTCATCGTTCGTCGTGCTTTACACCATTTCCACCGCTGCGCTCTTGCGCGAATCTTGTCCAAGTGAGTGCACTGGTCATCTTGGCCTTGGCAGATGTTGCACTGTAGCACTGTTAGTTGACCGCTGTGGTCCTGCATCTGGTCAGGTGTTCGAGTCTACGCTTGTTCATCAGTCTTTTTTTCTCATCGTACATCGTGTATTTTTCCGCCCAGAATTGAACTGGCTGTCCGAACGTTAAAGAACAACTTTGCTTTTACTTGTATATGTGATTCCTTCCCTTTATAGCCTTTGTCTTCTGATCGTTTTGTCATCCCGAAGTCACGTTATGACTCCATCTCGTCTTATCTTTCTCCCATGGGTGCTTCTTACAATGATATTCACCTCGTTTACGACCAAGAACATTATCACACGCTTATTAATTCCGGTGAGTTCTGTAGCTCTGTGTATAAAGTAAACTTTTCCTGATTAGCGAATGCACTGGGCCGTGCTCTCGTGAGCACATAAGCCATTTTGCAGCATCTGCTGAGTAGAAACCTTCTAACGATCTCAATACTCATTTCATCATCGGGAAATATTTGCCATCTCACTTTTTGCGGTCCCATCTATATTCCCGTATATTTTGCATCACATTTGATAGTCGAAGCACTGTGTTCACAGCCATGTTTGCTTTTGATTTCTGGGTGCTCTCTCGGCGCGCATTTGGTAGCGCAGTGAGCGTCTGGCTTCCCCCCCCCACCCCCGCTGGCCCTGGCCCCATCAAGAACTCGCTTGATCTCTCCGCCTAACGCACACAGCATCGACACAACTACACGCAATGTTTCGTTCTCTTGCTTTTCTTTCTTTTATCGTCTATTTTGCCCACTCTCCAGCTTCGCACTTCAAGTGTCGGTGTGAATCCGACGTTCGCTTAGCCGTTTCAGATCATTTAGGCCACCTCACTCTTATCCACTCCATGTTCAATATTTATCGTGACTTTTCTCAGTATACATTGGGGTCCGTTTTTGTGCCAGACAACACATGGTCACATAATAGCTAGGCACAATAGCTGTGGTGTCCCTCAACGGGTCATCCTGAGGTGAAATACATTCTGCTTTCCTTCATCAGGTCCCTTCTCATGGTCTGTTTTATTTATCTTGGATGAACGTACTTTCTCTCAGCTTGTTTTCATCCTTGTTATTCCACTTTTCAATTATCTGCACCCACTTTCGGCCCGCGATTCCTTGACAATTTTCCTCCATTTATTGTGGACACCGGCAAACCACCATGGGGATTCTAGCTGGGAATTGAGTCCCCAGACTAATCTAGTAAATCAAATGCTTGTGTCTTTCGACTTGGACACTTTTTCTGACTATTGTCAGAACCATGTCCGTTTGCATTGGATTAACGAGATTTCGGGTGCAAGCAGCGAGCAGTATTTTTCATTATTTTATCTCCCAAGACATTTTTTCCTACATCGACTGTGAATACTCACCGGTTGTTCTGCAATTTGTCTTTTCTTTTCGGCTTTAGTTTCATCACTGTCGTACTTTCTTGCCAAACAGGTGTTGATGAGCTTTTGGCGAAGCATGTGGCCCATCTCTTCACCCGTGATCCTATTTCTGTGTTCTCCGAGAGACTCAAGGTTCCGGAAAACGAAGAATTTGTTGATCACTTTGAGGTCAGCATTTCGCCCCCTCCATCTTTTCACTGCCACCACCGTGTTTCGTGTTACCTTTTTAGACCTGTCATGAGTCAAAACTGATACTCACACCGATGGACTCACATTCGGACTGTATGAAATTCGCCATCCCCAGGAGTATCCGTAGTAACCTAAACTGTGAAACAGTATGCATGTCACGCGGTCATTTCGAGAAGCGATAATTTTGCTCTGTGCCATGTATTAGGTGCAGGGACAGGGTGATGCTCGACAACGCCACCATTCTGGCGTGCGTGATTGTATGCGGCATAGCTCCATTTGAGAGCTATGTCTGCCTGAGCCGACAAATTGATCCACACTTGACTTTAACCTTCGAATGATCTCGGTCTGATGATTCTTTACAGAGCTTTCCACTTAAAATGATTGTAATATTGCGGATAAAGAAGCGCGTCCAGCTTGTTTGACGGTCTCACGAGCTTATCATAGATACCACACGTCACCAAAGTGTAGATGAGTGGTGCACATTGTTCAACGCTGTTCGTTTGTCGTCGACCATTGAGCACCATGAGAAAACTCGTTAGCGTTGCTATTTGTGATATCGCGCATCCTTTTTGGCCACCACACGCACTGTTCACCCAGATAGAGCTCACTAGTCGTTCAGGTTTGTGAGACACAGCGCATTTGAGTACTTGTTCCATGGAACTGAATTTTTTGTTCGGATATGTCATCTTTTACCCTGCTGTTTTCCATGACTATCCACTTCTGGAATAGTGTTCACTAACCTGGTGGTTATTCGATATCCCTGACTATACTTGGAACCGACCGCGAAGTCATGGTTTCAGTGAGATTTACGGTTGCTTGCATTCTTTTCACGCTGTGTACCTATACTCAGTTGAATTCTGGGTTATAGACGATGTCGTAACACTTCATTAGCATTGCCAAGTTGCATGCGATGTACCCGGCAATTGAGCTTTTCTGATTTGTCAAAATGAGACATTGGGATACATCATTTGATCCATCTCACTTTGCCGGTTACATCTATTTGACTATGTTGGGATCCCACAAACAGTAGGTATGTTTATTATGCATCTGGGCTGCCGCGGTAATACTACCGACAGGAAGCTGTAGTCTGACTGGGAACTGTCTGATTTCAGCTAGCGAACACAATAAGCCGCTGTTTCAACTAAACTTCTACCGTTTGATCAGGTTACTGGCATCTGGATCTTCTGCACTGCTTCTCTTCTCTTCGGGGGTGCACTGAATCCTGTTTGTTGCTCTCTCTTCCCTCTGCACTCCACGACTGCACTCTTCCATTAGAAAACCAAAGTTAGCACCCACGTCTCTGATCTCATGACTGTGGGACCCATGCTGTTCCCCCCCCCTAGCGAACTCACACCTTTTCTCAAGCGCTGAGACATCCTAACCCATCCACTTTGTTTTTCTTTTTTGTCCTCTTTGGCTTGTAAGTTTTTCGCTTGTCACTTCGGGAACTCTGTATAACAGTTTCCGATTTCGGGGGGGGGGTATCTATCAGTAGGCCCATCTAGTTTTATGATAACATTAGTAATGTGTCAGTACCGGCCCATCATTTTCCTTCACTTTTGCATTCAACTCCTTCATGAGTACACTTGTTTCTTTCAATTCTGGAGCGAAACTTAATCCGGTTAGTTGCCGTCTGCCCGTAGCCTTAAAGATCACAACCTTGTCTTATAATGTGACGGCGCGGGCTCGAGCCTGCGTCCTGACCTGCCAACCGTCGTAGTATCCTTAGCCCACGTGCCACCGGTGGTGGTTACACGGCAGCGAAGCGCCGGTACGCAGTACCGGCGTACTGATGACACCTGAGTGGCCGATTGCCGCCTGATGGGTTCTCAAGAACGGCAACATCAATGACGTTCTTGCACTCCTTCCCTAATTTCTAACTGACTGTTCCGTCAGGTCCGTAGGAGCTCTTTGTGTCAAGAGCTAAATGTAACCACAGTGCAAGCCTATGAATTTTGGTTGGTTCCAGTCTTATTCGAAGATACTGAGTTGTTCGTTACTCGTTTACTTTGTGGTATTATTCATGTTATTGTTTTGGCAAAGTGTATTCAAGTGATTAGACATCATCATCATTGAGAAGCTTAACTAGCTGCTAGCCCTGAGGTATCAAGGCCCTGGTTATTATCTTAATGTGGGACTGATACGCTACGACAATGCTTCCTGATCTGCTTACTACTGGTCGCCGCACGCGTAGACAGTATAACTATGATTCGGAATTCGGTTCATTGTTCGCACCAACACCGGATATCCACTAACAGTGGTCGAACGGCTCATTTGTTATGCCAGTTGTATCGCTACTGGCAACCAATTACCCGAGATGTTGATGTTCGGTGGAGATTATGTGGCTGCTCAACTCATCGGCCCTCTGTGTAGACCAATGGTTCCCAACCTTTTTATGCTTGTTACCCACAAAGCGGCTTCATTCTAAGAATTTTCCTCCCCATTTTAGTTTAATAAGCTAATTAACTATTAATTACTGCATTTTTTGCACGTCGAAACTCTTGTTCCAAGTTCATTCGGTTCCTTGGTTTGGTCTCTGATGCCTGATCAAACATGAGCAGATGTCACTGGCTTCTCAGCTATTTCAACCATCACCTCCAAATCCATCCTGGATGACAGCTGCTCACCAGCACTCTGTTTCGATACGTTCTGAACACTAATCGCCGGTTTTGTCCCTTTTAACTTGTCAACATTCGGTCGCTCCTTTACCCGGTCGGCTGACCTCTGTTTCTTCTTTAACATTCACTCAACTCTGTGATTCGACCCGGTGAACGACCACCTGATTCAAAAGTACAACACTCCTGGAGCGAGCTGATAGAGGCGCCATCTAGCTACGCTGCTTTGCAAGCTTGTATTATTATTTTAGGTAATAACATTTATCATTGAAACTACCATAATTCCCCGACCACTCACCGATGGCTAATCACTAGTGATTAGATAGTTTGTTGCATGTTTTGTTACAAATGATTTTGTTATTACCTCAGGTCACGAACTACTGGTGTTGACGGTTACCCTTACCTCTTTTTCCGTGCGCCATTTCAATGCACGCAGCGTTACCGTCTGAGTCAGTTTTGTGTGACCACTGCGCTTGGAATCGTTAAAAAGTGACAGGCCGTCGCCGGTAACTGATTAGAGCATCGATTGTGTTACCATCAAATCCCCCTTTAGGTTTTGATAACAGACTCTAGTGCTGCATTGAACAATCCGTTAGAGCTACACTGCATATATACATGTTTTATCCATGTCCATCGATCGGTCACCAAGTTGGATGAGGCACCAGAACGTCCACTTGATAATCTGACTCATATCTATGCTGAGCTTAATTATCTAGTTTAGCCCTGTTGATCTTTTACAGTTGGGGCTTCCGAAGCTGGATACCCCATCTGACTCCGGTCGGTCACGAGGCCAGTTACACTACTGCATGCATCCGTTACTCTTACTCTTTTCGATGAACTTTTGTGATTTTTTTTCGACTTATTCTCCATAGCCTCCGTTTCTAGGTTTGTCTTTCTGCCGTGCCAGTGTGGTTATCAGTCTTGTGACGGGACACCTAAATCCGTTACACTTTCTTCCCAAAGTCCTAAATACTCCGCTGTATCAAGTGATTTATGTGACAATTGCGTCTTCTGTTATATAATTTCAATTGTTATCATGTGTACATACTTACCCGGCGTTATTCGCTTCATGTGTTCTCCATGAGGATCGCACTCACATTGTTCGGTTGTGTCTAGCCTATACATATCGGTCAAATCGATCTTTCGCTGCTTTTCGCATAACACAGAACATCCAGTCAACTAACTGGCAGTCCATGCGCTTCAAACCTCCTCCATTGAATTCTCACATTGGTTGGCGTGTGGAGTTCAGGCCGGTAGAGCTACAGTTGACGGATTTTGAAAACGCCGCCTTTGTCACCTTCATCCTGCTACTTTCAAGAACCATACTGAGGTTGAAATTGAATCTGTTAGTTCCAATTTCCAAGGTGGACGAGAATATGAAAACCGCGATAAAGCGCAACGCTGTTCGCGAAGGATTGTTCTATTTCAGACATGGAAATTTACTAACAACGGGTTGGTGGTGACCATATATTTCTTTTCTCTCTTTATTGCTCTCTACTCTGTTTTGGATTCCGTCTTTGCACTGATTGTCCGATGACGTATGTGCATCATTGCTTTAGATTAATCGCTTCGTTTTTGTACACTTTGGCATTTTCGTGTTTGTCACACATTATTATTTTTGGGGGCTTGAATTTCCTCATGCTCGACAATAACACGTTTAACGTAGTTAGGGAATCAATCCTGAGAAAAGAGGTTAGGCTTCCAAATGTATTGACAGAAAATCAAACCGGTAATACCGTGATGTGAATTGACGGCATAATCACTGAACCGCAGCTTGGCGAATACACTAAAGTATGGTATTGCTGTAGCTCATTGAGCGGTACCCAGAGAATGCAGATGAAGTAGCCACTCTATACCCTTGCGAAATTCGTTGTCACCGCATTTCACGAAAGCAAATGGGTACGCTGGTATTTGGTTGCATAGTTATGGCATTTTATTTGCTGCTCTGACCTTCAATTTCATTCACTAACGTTTGAGTAGGTTTTTCTCTTATTTTCGTGCAATCGAAGTGTTTTCGTCTGCGTTTCTGTGAAACAAGGTATTAGTAGTTGTGATTGTTAGTAAAATATCTGGATCTGGCCACACTTATTGCTAGAAATTTTTTTATCTTTAGCTCGTCTCTTTAGCAACTATATTTCATGCTATACAGATACCATCTGCTTTCTGACCTTCACAAAAGGAATCGACAGAGCTTTATCCTCGCCATCAGCTTTAATAACTTAGGGAAAAATCGTGCTCGCTTTATCTGTGTTTCATCCACTCTTCTTTTTCAATACCTTCATGCTTTTCCCTTTCATACTCTTGTCCCTACAATTTTTACTGTGTTGCCAGATGGTAGTCCCATTGAACTGGCGATGGCATGCTCCGGGTTTCAGCGTCAGGGCTCATATGCCGTCAGCTCGAATGAATCCAACTCTGCAGATCCTGTGGACCCTTCTCACGCTCCAGGTTATTGCGAAGTTTCGGAAACCCATGGACCTCATACGGCGACATCTGTGGAGCCGGACAACACATTTACCCTCATGTCTATCGATGAGATCATGAATGGGAGTGTAAGTCTTATGGAACCTATTCGCATTACTCTCGTTCTTGCACACTGCGTCGCTGGCCATCAGTTATAAGCGTTTGATGTACACGCCTCCCTTAATACAGCGATAGCTCATCCATGTTGCTCAAATAGCCCCCTTACTTCTCTCATTATCATCATCACAGGTGGTGCAGTGTCTCGACCGCAAGATACGAATGTGCGTGTAACCATCATCATCATCATCATTATACATGTCAGCTAGAGATGGTAAAACACCTCCGCTATTGTACCGCAATACATAAAGGAAATACATACATACATACAATACATAAAGGAAAAATAAATACGACATTTGAATGCCAGCTGAGCTACCAGCAACGGATACGCATCGTTCCGGTAAGCTACTAGCCGGCTACTAGGCAAAAACAAAAATTTAATTACGTTTTACCCTACGAAATAAGATCGTAGATGGAGGGGGAGGCTAGAGGGATGGGGAGGGACAAAGAAACTCACAGCAGCAACGCCACTGAAGTCGGCTCCTTGCCATATCAGCAAGTGTATCCAGCCAAACGTGTTCACCGTCTTTTGGACCCCCAACCAGGGAGCCGTGAAGCTCCAACTGAGGCCAGCTCCGAAGTGAGGGCCTTCATTCCTCTGGACCAAGTCATCGCTTGGCCACCTCTCCTCTTCTTCCACCCACATCCCCGGTGAGCAAACAACGCACGTCGAGGGAGTCGGTGGGCTGGCATGCGCAACACGTGGCCCAGCCATCGGAGCCTGGTGAGTGAAATGACGGTGCTGAGCGGTTCATTCCCTTTTCCTAGGCCGTAAACAAGGCGTCGAACAAGCTCGTTACTCACGCGGTGTTCCCACCAGATGTGAGCCAAACTGCGAAGGCACCGATGGTCGAACGTAAGTAGCCTCTTCATGTCCGCCGATCTTAGGGGCCATGTTTCGCAACCGTACAGTAAGGTCGAACGTACCGCTGCATTGTACACTCTACCCTTCAGGGCGAGAGTAATGTCGCGCCGTCGCCATAGGTGGCGAAGGTTAGCAAAAGCACTTCGAGCTTTCGCTATGCGGTTCGTGATCTCTTCTTCGATCCCAAGGGCGCTGATACAACTTCCCAGGTAATTGAATTTCTGAACGACTTATAGCTGATCCCCACCAAGGGTCAGCACAGGGGGCGAACCCTGCCAATCCTGGAGGAACGCTTTGCACTTCGGTGGTGCAAAGCAAAGCCCGAAGCGACTGACAGCCAGTGCTAATCTGTCCAGCGCGGCTTGACACGTCTGGGAGCTGTCACAGATGAGGGCAATGTCGTCTGCATACTCTAAGTCAAGAAGTCGTTCTCCTGGGTGTAGCTCCACACCTTCCAAGTCATGTCCTGTAAATGCAATCTCCATGACTTCGTCAATAGCGAAGTTGAATAGGAAAGGTGACAGCGGGCATCCTTGTCTCACACCGCTGGAGATATTGAAGGGTGGCGACAACCTGCTGTAAGCCCTTACTCTGCCCGTGCTACGCGCATATAATGCTTGGATAATATTTACATATTTCTCGGGCACCCCTTTCCTGAGTAGACAATTCCAAAGGTCACATCGATCAAATAAATAGAAGGCACCTTTGATGTCGAGGAACACGACTACGGTGGGCCGCCAATATGTGTGACGGTGCTCCAACAACTGACGCAAGGTGAAGTTGTGGTCGATGCAGCCACGACCCCGACGAAACCCGGCTTGCTCCTCACGAATCTGGCTTTCACGAGCGCCAGTCAGTCTGTGGAGAATTATGGTGGCGAGTAAGTTGGAGGCGATGGAGATCAGACTGATTCCTCTATGGTTGCCGCATTCCGAGCGCGAGCCGCCTTTGAAGATGGGAACAATAACGGAGCGGCTCCAGTCGGTTGGGACAGTTTCGTGCTCCCACAGTTTCACTAGTAATTCATGCAAAGCATCAACAAGAGCAGAGCCTCCAAATTTGAAGAGGGCAGGAAGAAGATCATCTGGTCCCGCGGCTTTGTTCAACTTCAACAGTCCGATCTCACGTTCGACTTCTGAGCGAGAGGGTGGATCCAAAGGGACAGCCCACGGAGCGGGGCGATCAGTGACCGGCGAATCGAACAATTTTTGCCGATTAAATTGCTTTTCAAAATGTTCAGCCCAACGCTCCAGACGTTTTGACAAATTGTGGATAGGCTGTCCACTCTCGTCACGTATAGTTTCACTAACATCAGGTCTCCTGCTGCCCGTTTCCCGTATCAGACAGAATAACTTACGATGGTTGCCAAGGGCAGCGGCCACTTCCATCTCTGACGCACGATGAGACCACCAAGATTCGCGGTCTCTCTTCAGGCTAGCACGGAGTTTCGCCCGGAGCTCTTTGCGAGTTTCATTGTGCTCGCTTCCAGCCGGGATTTGCCGGCGAGCATCTATAAGTTCCAGAGACTGCGAAGGGACCCAATGTCCATGTTGTCTATCAGACATACCACATGAGGATTTGCCTGCTGCTAGTAAGGTCTGGTGAACATGTGACCAGTGACCATCAATTGTCTCCTGTGAGCGCTTGCTCAACTCGCATGTTAGCGTACTTCGATACGCATTCAGAACAGCTGGTTTTGTCAGTTGGCTGGTGTCAATGCGCTCACAGCGTCGTCGTGAGCGTCCGCCAAAACGCATCCGCATGTCAGCACATACAAGTGCGTGATCGGTGTCCACACATGTGCTCCAAATCGAGCGACAATTCTGGATGCAGCCTCTCCAGCAGTAACTTATCGCAATGTGATCGATCTGCGTGCAAGGCTGGTTCGAGGTTGGTGGGCGCCAAGTCACCCTTCGGCGGGTGCTGTGTCGGAAATTAGTGCTCGCAAGAAATAAGCGAGCATCTTCACACAAATGAAGTAACCGCTCACCGTTATCATTACGGGAGCCTACACCGTGTTGACCGCCCAGATGCAGTTCATCAATGGACAGCTTTCCAACTTGTGCGTTCATATCCCCCGCCAGCACAACAGTGTCCGTGCTTCTTCTGTGGCGAAGGAGCTGGGTCAGTTGGCGGTAGAAGTCGTTCTTTACCGAATCATCGCTACAGTTTGTGGGCGCATAGGCAGCGATGATGAATAGACATCTATTAGTCCCGCGCGACTTCGAAGCTTTAAACGAGCCAGCCAATCGGACCGCACACATCCGGCTACTGATTGGAATCCAATCAACCAGAGCAGCTTCAGCCCGGGGACTCAGGGCAATACCAACACCGGCTTGGCCGGTGCTCGAAGCTACATCGTCACCGGATAGGCGCAATGAGAAAATACTGCTTGCGTCCCCTGAAGGGGATCGCAGAGTGAGCACAGTGCTCGAGTCTTGCAGGCGAGTCTCTGATAAGCAGCAGATATCGATCGAGTGGGTCTCCAATGTTCGGGCAAGTGCTGCCTGTTGACCGATTTGTAGCAGTGTGCGTACATTGAGGCATGCCAATCTGAAGGAGGATCGAGGGCTCCAAATGGAAGCCGATGAACTGGATTGGACCGCTTGGTTGGACATGGGCTTGTCGACAGGAGAGGAGTGACGCTCCGCGTTCACGTGTGAGTTGAAATTATAAGGTAAATGCCTAGCAAAGCATGTTGGGGGAGGGCCAAGAATCGGGGGGTTGAAAACTGGGGGGATATAAGTGAAGTTGGAATGGGACGGTAAGAGTGAAAAAGCGTAAGAGGGGGAATAAGAAGACGGGAAGGCTTGAGCAGTAGCATCCAAACCCCTATCCACCCTGCTCGATGCAGCAGATAGGGCACCGTTTATTATCCTCTGCGGTGGCCAGAGCATCAAGAAATTGTTTGGAGGAAAATTCATAGTATTGCGTGGGCAGGATACTGTCAGGTTGCCCAGGCCTAGACAGGAGAACGATTAGGGTTCTCAACCAAAGCCTTTGGTTCAAAAACCTGACCGCAAGGCAGCGGGTTTGGCGTTGGGCTACAAGGAGTCCGTTTTAAGGAATAAGGTGCCACCCTCATTCCAACCCCCAACTTGGAGGACCAGGAGGCTGAGTTTGTCTGGCCTCTAACCATTGACCAATCTGGTATGAGTGACTCTGAAGGTGCAAAAGCACCACCCAGCGTAGCTCAATGGATCGCTGCGGCACACAAACCATCGCACCATGGTAAGGCCCAGCCTCACTGCGATGGGTGCGTGTAACCACAATCTATTGGTTGTTCTTTAAGATTACTGGAAGTGGCTCGATGTATCCAGTTCGCATTCGCCCTCCACTTCTTGCAACTTTAGAATCGTTGCATACATACATCCGGTTTTCTTTCGCATTGAGTTACTTTCACCACTGCCAACATTTCTTGTGGAACTTTCTCGAATCCTTCGTGTTATTTCACTTTACGTTCACTAAGTTCATTGCATCTGAACTTCCTTTCTGATTAAAGGATTCTTTCCCCGGCCTTATCCCTCTCATTCGACACTATGTTCAAGTGATCGGCGGCGATCCTGTTGTGGTTTGCCTTGTACATCGCTACCTGGATTTCCTGCAACAACGTGCTTCCGGTAGGTTTCTGACAAAGCTAATCTTGCCCCTGTGTTTGGATACTTCGCCTTATCCCAATTTTCTCCTTTCATTATCACAGTGCAGTCACTACTTTTAAACAGGTGTAAACAGTTTATTACTGCGCGTTTCAACTTCGCATTGTAATTGAGTCTTAAAAGAGGTGACGATTTGCATATCAACGCACATTCAGCTGCGCTGATGACCTCTGGAATATTTCGAGGTCTAATATCGTCTCAGATGATCATTTGCTTTATAGCACTTTTCTTGTCCTTTCTGGTATGACACATCCCGACCTTCGGTGACACATTTCCGTAATTGTGCGTCTTGTGGACGGTTGCCACGTTCTAACCGCATTGTTTCGATTGTATTTTGTGTTATATTTTCGAATAGTTTGATGTACTACATTGTAACACATTGGCCGAGGTATTTCTTACTTCCAACTAACGTGTACAGGGATGATGACCTGCTGTATGGTGACAAAATGTTCGAGCTTAGAGTTTCCGTCGCCAATATTGTCATCGTTTGCTTACGAGCACAATATTCCAACACATGTTAACTACAGTTAGCTCTTCCAACGTCATCCCTAGGTGCATTATTACCTCATTAGGTGATCGTTGCACCGCGTAGTGTCACTTGTACCTTTGGATATTGCTCCATGGATGTTCCGCATCGCTTCTCTTTGTTCCTTATTGTTGGTTTCGTATACCCGTTGGTTCGTGCTTGCATCACTGTACTTTAGCCTACCACCTCTGACTGTGATTAACTGCTATTTTTCATCGTTCTCTGTTCATCATACGGACGGTTGATCATATCCTCACTCGCATGAGCGTGTAAACTGTTCAATGTTACATGCGCGCTTCCTAAGGTTCACCGGGATTTTTGGGAATCTGACTTCTTAGCGACCACTGAACTATCAAAGCGCATTATGAAAACTGATATGCTGCCCGTTTCAGTTCTGTTGATGCCCAAGCGGTTTCTCCCAAGTATTTGTGTATGCTACTCCTGGTGCGAACCTGTTCGGTGAAGTCTCTAAAGGAGATCGTCCATCCACACAGCTAACACTGCTTTTAGTGGTAGTTGAAATGAAGACGGATCTGTGAGCAACACTGCGGCTTGACATTATGATTATCACCGTGCTTTGTAATACAGCTTCTTTCTTTCCCTAACCCAGCGCTTACCACCGGCGCCCATTCCCCATCAAATCTGATGTACAACAGATATTTGACTTCGCTTTCTCTTCACTTGTGAGCGCTTTCAATCCGGAGTCTTCACACTATTTGCTAATAGCTGTACACGCATTGCTTGTGCGGTATCTCTGATGCCAACACAGCATCGCCCATAACTGGTGGGAGCCCCGATTGAAGTACTCTGTATTCCGCTAATTGGCTTTGATCGCATAACCCTCTGGTCTTGTATGCAAACTCCTTATAACTCCGGTTGCTGGTGGAAACGTTCGATGAGGTCCCAATATTTGACTCGATATCACCTTTATAAATTCATCCATCTATTTGGCAAGGTCATGTTTATCAGCTTCTTGTCGATCAGTTACTTCAGCGCATTTCATTCGCCAATACACCACACGAGTAGCTATAACTACGGGACTGCCAGCCAATGAAATAGCGAAGAAGCACAAGGATTTTGATCGAAAAGCTTTTTCTGGGTAGTACGTTTTGTCTTTCCACATTGGTATGAACTCGTTGTGCTATAACGCGGTCACGAGGTCAACCGGGCCTTTGCATTTAGTCGATCACTCCCGCCTGTTTATTCAAGAAGTATACGTGATCTTTTTCTCCTTATGTTTTCTTTGGCTTCTGTGATCCATTTGTCGGTTTTAAACCCCCTTACTTGTCGTCTCCCATACGAGTGTGCACATCCCACTTCAGCGTTTGGGGCCTGTTAGACTGACTAAACTTGCGTGACCCCTGTCATACTCCCCATGAGGTATTCCCATCTTTGCTCACATGAACACGGTCACTGCAGCATTCTGTAGCTGCGGCTGTTTAGCAGGTCGTCCCGGCTACTGATCGAAATCATGCTTGGTACACATTCTGCTACCATACAACATACTTGCATCACGCAGATGCGTCATCCCTTCGGCCGATCCTGCTGTCTTAGGTCTCGGTACATGCTGTCTAGGACATGCTGTGGAGACAGTGACGCAATTATGGTTTAATTTCCTTATGCAACAAAACTTCAATGCCATGCCATCTCGCTAGCATGTGTCCTTACTTGATAAGGTGTGCATCTGAAAACCTAGGTGCTTCTTGTTTGGATGTTGCTGACTATACTACTGTTGCGTCGCCCCTTCCCCGACCTAGACCCTTTGACGTCACCGTCTACACATGACAGTTTGGGCTTAGTGTCAGCCGACATCCATTGGCCTGTAAGGACAATGGGCTTCCACTTATTTGAATACATGACATCAGCATCTTGCCGGTACACCGTATCGACGCTTTGCCGCCGTCGCCGCCGCCACCATTCGCGCTAGAGCTTGGTATATCGTGAGGTCACCCGCTTATCCTTCATAAAGCTTTAACCCTGTCCACTCATTATGGATAAAGCACTTCCGATTACTTGCTGTCTATTACCGTGATTTTAACGACCATGAGTCTGTCGGGCTTTCGGATCCTTTCATGCACTGAATGTACTCTGGATTTCACTGTCACCATTTTGTTGCCTTAGAACATCGTTCCTCAAAATGTGGTCCACGGACTCCCAATAGGTCTGTGGGATCTCACCGAAATGTTATCATTTCGTCAGAAAAGTTTTGGACGTGATCATTTTATTTTACACTTTAACGACAGTGCAGTGAAATTTATTTAATCGTGTTTGACCCATGTAAAACAAACTCCTTCCAAGAAGAAACCTGAGTTTATTAGCGACTTAAGGTGTGGAACGAATCTGTTAGAAAGGTAGTGTAGTAATCTCACTGTGATGCGATGAGTAAAGGCAGGATTGATGATTCTCTGCCTACGCAAGCTCATGTAACTCAAAAAGTTGTTATCCTCCGAAATCGATCAGTTGGAAAGTGAGGATCACTGGCGCGACACAATCAGAAGGAAAGCGTTGATATTCCTTGGTTCTACAAGTGTGCTTATTTGACTTTGCGAATTGAAGAGAAACTATCATCTCTGTGACGTTACAAACAAGTGGTTGTTCTGTTTGCTTTATTTTATTCTTTAATCAAAGTATACGAAGTTGAGATGTGTTCTGGATTCGTTTAGCATTTCTTCACCTAACACAAAGATCGGTCTTTGACTAAATGCATTGACATTGATAAATTTGTCACAGAAATACTTGTCATCAAATTCTGCTCTTATGATAGTTAGGCCATCTTAGTTTATTAAAACCCAGTGCTCTGTTTAACGATATCTCAGGGATTCCGCCTTATGGGCTTCCACTAAAAAGAGGTCCATGCAACTTAGCGCCCCTTGCTCTCTTATGTGGATCGCCGCAGTCTTGTGGGCTCTACACTTCGAATCTTCTGTTTCACATCCACTTTAAGCAACTCACATGGCGGCTCCATATGGAGCCAATTTTACTTTGTTTGTATTTTTTGCTTGGTTTCTCACATAACTGTTTCTCTCCGACTCTTTTCTGCTGAACTTGGCTCGGTTTCATCTGTGCGTGCCTCCTCGTTATCCATCCAAATCGCCAGAATGAAATCAGAGACAAGAGTACGAATTAGTCCTGCATGTGTTGTACAAGCGTTTGGTGGGTAACCAAGATGCAATATGCACTAGGTTCGAAGTCGGCGCTTGATTAGACAGACATAGAGCATAGGCGCAGTGAAGGTAAGAAACCAATCACACACACACACACACACACACACACACACATATATATATATATATATATATATATATATATATATATATTGATGCACGCACGCACGCATGCAATGTGCAGTCGACCGAGATAACGCATGGACGACCAGCTGGGGATACATCATTTACTTCCCGATCGCATTCAGTCTACGTGTCCCCTTACTTTACTTTGGTCGAGGTTATTCCGCGTACCCCATTTTATGTCGTAGTTGAAGTTTTTGTCGAGCACATCACCCATTCCTCCTTAATACGTCCTTAATCTTTCTTCGTTTGCCGTTTACTAGGTGCTCTCATGACCACCGCCACATGGATGCGCAGCCGCATTCGTGCCCATCCTGATTATCACTTTGATTCGTACGTATCAGAAAGCATTTGTTCGGATCTGATGAGGGAATGCTATGCAATCACGTGTGGGGAGTTACGACCTCCGGAATTGTTGCCTCCTGTCTACGAAGAGCCCTTGAGCGAGTCTGATAATCCCTGTCGCCTCGCCTCCAGTTGTCGAGGCTACTGTTTTGCTGATACTAGTCCTTCCCGGTCAGCAGACACTCCGCCCACCGGTGTAGTTCAACGGCCCGGAAGTCACAGTTGTTTCTAGTCGCTGATGTGTTTTCTCAGTGACTACATCTGATGACTCTCTCGTTTCCTCTTGTCCGTTTCACATGCCTGGGTGGATACCAGATTGCGATTTTTACCTCCTGTGATCCAACCATTTTGTGTCCGTCCATCATTTTGTACATCGGCACTCTCACCATTCTCCGTGATTGCATCAGATATGCGCTTTTTGGAAGTTTCATGATCATGCCTGTATATAGGCATGCGTCGCGCTGTAGAGCATAAACTTTATTTATTTATTCGTTTGCTTAATTTATTTTTTGTCATTCTGCGACCACACAATTTGCTTGCTGCTTTCTGCGATTTTTGATGACTGATACCAGCAGCATCTTGCTGTCATATTTATGTTTACCTGCACGCTGTGAATGCTACAAGCATGTTTGTACTGTTTTCTCTATCTCTTTGCATTTTCTGCCTCTACTGCTTTCTTTTCCATTCCACCAATCACACATTCGTTGCGTTTGCCCTGTTTCTTACCGTTATGTATCGCTTCGCGTGCCCCCAACCATTCTTTTGTAATCTGCGCATCTTTTGATTGGATTAAAGTGGCACTAATGTTTACTTAGTCTCTTGGTTGGTTACCATTTCTACTTGTAATGCGTCTTTCCCCGCTTTCCGACAGTGTCACCTACCTCTCTACTTTCGGCCTTCGATGGCAGACCTATATCTCCACTTTCCTTCAGATTTAGTTCACTCTCTATAGACACCATACTTGTGACTTGCGTCCGATGTATTCGGACGGACGTCATCACTCGGTTTGTGGTCACAGCACTCCATCCATGGTGGCGCATGGAAGTGATGCGCTAACAATCCTTCCAGTTGCATAGGTCGGCTCCTTTCTGATTCAGTGAGACCCTCACTGGAATCATATCTCCGAGTTAATTTAGGACAGCTGGATGGACAAACAATTCGGCTTGATTTGTCGGTCATGATCTAAGCACCGGTCTGTGATAAATCCACTTCTTTCTGCTCACGTCACTAATGTCGGTAACAACAACTTGGCAAGCTTGATCTCACGTCAACTCTTGGTAGACATACTAGCGAATCGGGTTGCTAGTTTAGTATCCGACGATTCGACGCACTGTTCATCTGACTGAAGTTTCTCTTGTAATGGACACCAAATAAAAACCTATGATCATCTCGGTGCCCGTGTGGTGACCTGTTTTCGTTTATGTTAGATTGGGTTACCTGCTATTGGTGGTGCAGTAGTCGTTTATTCTCAGTGGAGCCTTTCTTTGTAAGCACTTTGCGATACCTACAAGTTTCATTGGCCTTTGAATAAGCGTGGACTTATGATGGTGGCGTATAGGCCTCAGGATGTTCGTGCGAAATAATTGGGGAAATTGAGACTTAGCCATCCGCTTCGACTGGACTTAATTGTGCGCGTAATTTCCATCCGTTCCAGATTGACAGGATAAATGAGAGGGCAATTTTTAAACAGCACCCTTCCTATCAAACATGCACTTTCTCAACTGCTTCTCAGCTTCACATTTGTTTGTAATCCATAAGTCGAGTGTGTTTTCTGTTACCAGTCAGCTTGAGGGATGGACGCCACTGGAGAAATACCGTGTAAATTTTGACTCCATGCAAGTCGCTCACAACAAATGACTATTAAGTACAGGTTTCAATAACAACTGACAAAAGAGTGTAATCGACCAGGTTAATATTTAACAAGGCATTTCCTTGTCGGAAAAGAGGACACTGGAATGATTAGCAGGGGACTAGACCAACCGTAGTACCCGTGGTCTAGCGACCATAAACAGCAGCTGATTTTCTTTTCCCTTGTGGATGAATAGTCTGGGTTGCTGCAAATCCAACAGTTCGTGGAAGGCCGTGTGGTTTCACATGTTTCACGCACCATGTTCCAAGTGTATGCACAAGATCTGCTCTCGTATGCTACATACCTTGGTGACACGTTCGTGGATGTTGATTTGGCTCGGCAGACTACGTAGGTACATGCTCTGACCAAAACAGATGTGAATATTTTCAGAATAAAAAGAAAAGTGAGTGTCACTTTCCCTCTGTAGATGTAAACCTGAAAACGAATCCAGATGTTAGGCTCACCCGATCCATATCTCGCAAACTTACTCCGACAGCACAAACGAGTGCCAGTCCTTGACGCTTACCCGAGGACTCGCATAAACTACAAAGCAAGGATCAACAGCCGGCTAAAACGCACATCATCAACACTACTTGAAGATGAATATCCCACGAAATTGTTAGCGCGCTATGCGAATGCAGAAAATATTGAGAAAGGATTGCTATAAGTCTCCAGAAAAGCTGTTTATTACACTGACAATTGTAGGGGACCATGATGACAGAAGATTCCGGCATCGTTTCCTCGAAGTTGTAAACAGACGCTATCACTTGTCCTAACTGGTGCTATTACATCAATACGGGAAATTGCTGTGGGAACCCAACATGGACAGACCAAACCCTCAATTCTTTGATTGTGTTTGTGATCAATTTTGCCTCAGTGATGCAATGCATAGTTATTTTTGTCAGATCCGCGACTGATATGTACATAGTTGACGGCATCCGGTTTCGGAATTGCCTGTCACTGTGGCCAGCCACAGGACGTCTGTGCTGCACCACCCACATCTCCAACCACACACCCCATACCCAGAGTGAACCCGAAGGACTAAAACCGGGAGGCATGTGGAAAGGAGCCAGGTTTCATCAACGAAGCCGGCCCACATTCCTTCACAGGCAATCACAAGCACGCTGTATTTGGGGAATCAAGCGCACACAAGGTGGTGGCTGGACCGTAATCCACTCCACACTAAGTGCATGGAACCACTCTTCGAGCCTAACTCGGCCACAAGGACCCTGCACCCCATCCCCTCCAGCGACGACCAACTGTCTCCTGGAGCCAGTATGGACGGGGTAGTGGGTAATAGACAGGTAGGCACTTTGTCAACATACACATCAAGCGCAGCCACACCGGGGATATCAAGCAACAGCCAGTCACTTGAAACAAGGAGAAATAAAATGTGGAATAATGTTTTTAGATACGGTGACATTATTCTTCACTAAATGGGCGTATAAAAAACATTAACTACGAACAAATCCGCCATAAGTTCAAAAGGTCAGAAAACATATTTTAAGAAAATGCCACAAACTCGAAAATGTCATCAAAATTAACTACAATTTGCTTCAACGATGTGTGCAAGTTTATAGAAGATGGTACAGGTAGAGATGAATATGATAAAGCAAAGCCTAAGACGAAATTGCAAACCTACCACCTGAAATAGCATACAAGCACCCGGTTAGTAAATCAAATGCAGTGTACCTACAAACGTTGTGCCGGTTCTGCCTACTTTCTCTGCAGGACTCGTCGTCGCTTCGGTGGTGGTCCGCAGTGGCCTCGCTCATGGCTCACTAGGCCTGCCTGACTCAGGCACTCGGGACCGCGTGTGCTACAGCACCACGCGCTGGATGTCGATGGAGTACAACCCATCGGCGCTTCCGCATTTGCCGCTTCTTCTCTGCATGCATGAGGTCTTTCTCCCGTACCACGGAAACTGCCTTCGTGATCAGATCGTGCCATGCACGCCGATCAACCGCGTTCGATTCCCATGACCTGCAATCAAGGTTAGGACTTGTGAGGCTCCCTTTGATCATGTCCTGGTAACCTAAATTTGCTTTCCACACATGCAGCTTCTCAATACTCAGCTGACCATATAATAGTTGTTTCGGCATCTGCGTTGAATCCATGCGGCTCACATGACCGAGCCACCTCAGGTGTCTAAGTAAATGTATGCAGTCCACTGATACATTCCATTTCGACGCAACACTTCTCTGTCCGCAACTTTGTCGCACCAACCGAGGCGCGGAATCCGTCGCAAACACTGTTGAGGGAATCGCTCGAGATATCGCACATCCCGCCAGTACATCGTTCACGTTTCGCTGCCCTATAGAAGAACGGACAGCACAATGGATTTGTACACCATCAGCTTCGTGCCAATGGTAAGCAGATGGTTGTTCCACACGCGCTACTCCAGTTTCGAGATGCGGATACGCAGCTCACTGTGTAGCTGGTGGTCAGTCGACATCACACTCCCAAGGTAGCAAAAGCGGGAGATAATTTCCAATACTTCAGCACCAAGGCTGATTCACGGCAATATTGAGGATTGCACATCCGCTGAAGGCTGAAAGAGACAGGCAGTTTTGCTTGTGTTGATGGTGAGCCCGAATTTGGCCGCTGTCGAAGCCAGAGCAATAGTCATGTGCTATAACTCATCCGCGCTGTATGCAACCGACGCACAGTCGTCAGCAACATGCGGATGGTGGTCTCACAGACTATAGTTCTCGCACCGAAACAACGGATATTCAGCAACCCACCATCAATGCGGTGCTCCCCACCAACACTGTAAGTACTAGTCACATCAAAAGCACAAGACATCATTGCATGAAGATAAATATTAAACAGGGCAGGAGTTAAGACACAGTCTTGCTTCCCACCGGAGAAAACTGCAGTCAGCCGAGGTCTCTCCACTCAGCTGCACCCTCGTTTGCATACCACTGTGCAGACATTCCATTATAATCACAAACTTACGCGGGCAACCAACCTTACCCAACATCAGCCACAATGCCACGCGGTTCACCGTATCAAATGCCTTGGTGAAATCAACAAAAAGCGAGTACAACGGCTGATGGCGTTCTCTGCACTTCTCTTGCAACTGACGAGCCGAAAACACCATATATATATATATATATATATATATATATATATATATATATATATATATATATATATATATATATATATATATATATATAATGCTGCGATTCGGACAGAATCCACACTGCTCTTCCGCCACTTTAGGTTCCACAACCTGGTCGACGAGGCGGTTGAGCAGAATTCGGGCTATCACCTTGCCCATACAACTCAGCAGGTTTATGCCACGAGAATTCGTGCAACATCGCTTGCTACCTTTGCCCTTGTACAGTGGCAACACAAGGGCATCCTTCAGCTCAGCAGGCACCTCTACCTCTGTATATACATATATATATATATATATATATATATATATATAAAATACAATTAGCTAGCGGCAGTGGCATTACCTGAGCACCAGAACATTGGAATAAATACAATTTGACAAGCGAGGATGAAAAAAAGCTTCGCGAAATCTTCAACACTAGCGCTAGAAGTAGGGGATTCTCGCCTTCCACAGGGCACAGTTTCTAACGTCACCCTCATGTACTCTAGGTTACTAGCACACATGAATGACCTTCAAATAGCAACCGTCACCTACAGGCGTCGAGCTAGACCGCAATTTCATTAACCGGAATCGATTGCTGTGTGTAAGTTAAATGTTGTCCGATATCTGCCAGTGAGGGCTGACTGCTCACTTGGACCGAGGAATCAGCGGATATGTACATATCAATCATGCGATTCTTCATTTTTGAGGACCCCCAAGACACTTGCAGATTTCTTGTGGATAGTTGGAATTTTGACATAATTTCAGAGATAGTTCGGCGTAGTTCCCTTTCAGTCAGCAGGCTTCCACACGTTTGGAACTAGCAAATGCTCGTTTATGGACCATATAAAAATTTAAAC